TCTATGAAAACTTTTCAGATGAACTACATTCTTTAGTTCCACCTGTGCTAACCTTCACGACCAAGACCCGTCATAATAGAGAATCATCCTCATTCCCTGAGTACTACATTGGTAAGATGTTAGTTCTTCTCGAGCCGGTTCTTCCCACAAACCTCTATTTTGTGGATCCGACTCCCAAGGTGATGCTTACCGATCGCTACTATCTTATCATGTTCACGTCTACTGTTATCTTCCTCATATATCCGCATAAACTTTACCTCGTACTCTGTAACCCTCGACCTCGAGTGGCTCTCGAGGCTAGTACAAGTTGAACATCATTATAAAAAAAAATACTCCAACAGATTACAGATGACGAAACCAGCAATTAATCGATAAACAAGCCAGTTTGATTTAATCACGATGTCTAAAAAATAAAACAACGGAAATTGTTATAAATTGAATTTGTTTTCTTTTTCTGTTCAAAGTTTTACTCGGCAGAACTCTTTTCTGCATTAATCCGTTAAACAATCCAACGGAATCCTACGTTTGCTGATAAATAGGGATGATTTCAAAAGCAAATTGCAAACATTTGCTTTTTTTTCGGCCAAATTCGGTAATCGCATCATATCGTCCAAACAGATATTGCCTCCAAAATCTCGCCAAAAATCTCGCTAAATCTCGTTAGCTATTAAGGTATTTTGGTGATGATATTAAATCAACGTTAGACAGCCAGAAATATAATGAAGAAATTATCAGCTCTGTGACAAAGTTTAGAGAAATTCTGCGATAAAAATGTGAATTCACCCGTTGAAATTTTCACTAGTTTCAAACTCTACAGACAATATAACTTGATTTCAGATCACAGGAATATATGTCGGCTGCACAAAACGAATTACTTGTATGTTTTCTGTTTTCTATTTATGCTATTATTCGACGATTTATCCCCGTAATTTCATTTTTTTTCAACCGAACTGTGAGGTTTATTATTGCGTCGTTCAACCAGAACGACGAGATACGTTAAATTGTATGATCTTCACTGTCCTATAAAAATCATATTCTTTCATATACACTGTACAACTGATACGATTATATGCCTCAGAATTTTTCTACTGCAAATAAATCCTCAAGTATTCACCATACGTCTCGGGGTAATGGGTACGTATCCGCCATTACCTTGCTTTTACTAGCGTAATATAAAATTGTATACATGGGACATTGGTGATTTCGCCCTAAGCTACCATTTTGCTTGCGATAAGGTTGATTGGCTAAAGAATATGTATGAAGTTAGGCTTTTTTGATAGAAGGAATAAGACATGCTAATGCCAGTCTCTGAACCTAATTGGCTATTCGATGAAGACAAACAAAACATGATCAGTCTGCTCCTGATTGGTTATTTTATAGAGGTTGAACTGGATATGCAGAAGCCCCCCGCTTCTCTTTTCATCACCCTCTCTCTCTATCCTCTCTCTCTATCCTCTCTCTCTCTCTGTCCTCTCTCTCTCTCTATCCTCTCTCTCTCTCTCTCTGATTGGTTATTCAGTGAAAACCAACAGGGTATGATATGATCACTCTCGGTCCCTGATTGATTGTTCTGTGGAAGACAAATTGGTCGTGCGTGAACCAGTCTCTGTTCCAGATTAGCTATTCTGTGAAAACCTACAGGACATCATTAGATCACCCTATTTCACTGATGGGTTATTTTATGGAATACAAATTGGTTATACTAGGATCAGTCTCTGTCCCTGATTGGCTAATCGGTGAAAACTAGCGGGCGCTATAAAATCACTCTCAAGTTGGCTCACAAGTTTCAATACGATTTAATTTTCAAGTCTTTTTTCGCTGATATTTGGACTGTCACAGCTGAAACTCCTCTCTTACATGCTAAACATCTTATGGGTTGAATTGGACCCATTTTAATTGGTCTCTTTAGATCGAAGTTGAAATGATGATCTCTCTTCTTGTCTTGACCTCCTGATCCAATTTTTCCCACTTTTTTAAACTTATTCATCAATCTCTTGATGGTTATTAGATGGACTTTGAACATAGAAGCAGGAGTATGAATATTGAAATGATTCCTTTTCTCTTACAATTGCCCAGTTAGGAAGACAGTGGCACCGACATAAAACGATTTTAAGCTGTTCTTTTCTGGATGAATAATTCAAAGGGTTTGTCAGTGATTCTTACGACAAAAGGTATCAAGCTGGCTAAACGTCTTATCTGAAAATCTGTATATAAAAAAAGAAACTCAGTTTAGCGTATTTTATATATTAAACATTTTTGGTATGGACAATTTTGCTGTTACAACCGATATATATATATATATATATATATATATATATATATATATATATATATATATATATATATATATTCGCTTAAGAATGATTCATTGAATAATATAGACATAGTATGTCTATTTATATAATAATCCTTTCTAGTTCTCTAATTAGTTTCTTGGTGTTAGGTTGAAATACATCAAGGAGGGTCTCGTAGTTTTTGTAAACCCAAGTACTTTCAATCTCATCTGGGGATCATACTTAGCAGTGAATTGCGAATGAAACTTAATGTAATTGTGGTGGTGACTTGTGTAAACACATTTGAACACACTCTGTTATAATTACTTTTCATTTTTTAATTCATCCGTTGTAGCTAAGATAATTTATTTGTAAAAAAACATTCACAGTTTAAGGGGGATGGTAAAAATGCAACATGGCGTTAAATGTTGGCCAGGTGTATGTTAAACCACTGCTACAACACTCGTAATAAATTTTGTTCAGTGTTAGTTGGTTGCTTTGTATAGAGACGGCCTTGAGAATTTGAAGTTTTTTTTTGTTCATTATTTACATGGTGTAGTATATTCGTGTTGAGAACAAGTATTTTCTTGTGCTTTGAAAGTGGACAGGCATAAATTCCTTAAAGGTTGCACTGTAGAACTTGTATCCGAGAAATGGTGAGTAAGATATCTTGATATTGTGATCATCAAGACGACATATCTACTTATATTTTTCTCAGAGATATGGTCACCCAAAAGACATGCATATACAGTATTGGTCTTTTCAAAGACACTAGTTGACGGAGAAGAGTTACTGCGTATGATTAAGTTGGTTGTATTGAATTTGGTATAATATATAATTAGTTTTATTTTTTTATAATCAGTGGGGAATATAATAGTACTTATGGGATTTTTTAGGGTTTTTTTATCCTGTTTATAGTTAGAATGCGTTTTAATACAGTATAGTCGTTTGATATGCTTGGGATTATTTGAGAAAAGTATATATATATATATATATATATATATATATATATATATATATATATATATATATATATATATATTGTCAGAAAATAACACCATTGTGCGCTTACCTTGGAGCGGGTAGAATGGAGATCGCCGTATTTTAGTGGACTCAGCAGTTTTCAATCTGCTTGTCTGAATCATCTTCAAGAAGCGAGAGCAAGATCTAGAAGGTCAGCCAATCTAACAGTGATCTCATCTCACAATCCTCACTCTTGCTCCAAATGTGGCCTCCTTTGTAAACCACAAGCTGATCTTACGTGCCCCTTAATATTATCTTACAAAATTTTATAACTGAATCAATTAAGCTCTCAGATCCTCATACGTCGAAACTGACGGGAGAGTCCATTATATATATATATATATATATATATATATATATATATATATATATATATATATATACATACATTTAGTTGGATAGATGTGAGTTATCCAACCAAATATGTTAGCTCTATCTCTGATATTGAGCGCTTTTATTAAGTACCACTTGCATATAATATATAAACAATTATACATATATATATTTATTTATATTTATATACACTTTTCACACACACACACACACACACACACACACACACACACACACATATATATATATATATATATATATATATATATATATATATATATATATATATATAGATAGATAGATACAGAAATAGAGTTTTAAAGTCTGTTATATTTGTGGGATAAAGTGCTCAATATCAGAGATGGATTGTATGTAAATATAAATATAAAAGTGAACATTGAAGTCAACACTCAGAGGCGACAGGCATTTTCATGCATGCAATTGTCAGGCCGCGAGTGTATATATATATATATATATATATATATATATATATATATATATATATATATATATATATATATATATTTAATAAATATATATATATATATATATATATTTATTAAATAAATATATATATGTATGTGTGCGTGCATGTGTGCGTGAGTGTATGTGTGCGTGTCTGTATGTGTGAGTGTATGTGTTTGTGATTAGTTAGTAATTGTCTTTGAAAAATCCGATAAAAGTGTAAATAAATCTTAAATTGAACAAATAGCCATGGAAATTATACTTTTGCCAGTTAAAGCTTTGGTGGATGTTTAATTTTGCAAGGAGCTCGTGTAAACGTCAATGAGTCTATTATAATACGGGTAATATATTGTCTTTGTTATAGCCATGAATATAATAGCAATATGGAAAACACAAGATATATGTTTTTAATCTGTCGAAAGTATACATGCCGATAAAGATTTATAAGAAAAAGAGAAAATTAGAAAATAAATTTAATCTACAAAATGTAAAATAATGCTTGCCTTGTCGAAAAAATGTCAGTACCCGAGGATAAACGTAGTGAGATGACGTCAAAAAATTTTCCTTTTTGACGTCAACAAATGCAAAATGCTCCCAGATCGCTTGACGTGACATCACTTCCGAATCAAATGAAACCTCGGTAGACGAGGCAACAGATAGGTATATATATATATATATATATATATATATATATATATATATATATATATATATATATATATATATATATATATATATATATAGATAGATAGATAGATAGATAGATAGATAGATAGATAGAAAAAAACCTTTTTTCAGTAAAATCATTATTATCCACAAAAAATTATGAAAATCTAAAAATATTTTCTGGATTTAAGTAACATGCAAAAGGTTGATAAGACGGAAGAAATCACCGTATCAATGTTAATGTCTTTGTCTCCATCTTTTATCCTTCTAACCCCTCTTTTTCACGCTGCTTGCTGCCTATTTCTCTTTGGGTTTAACACACTTTTTCTTTCATTGTCTTTGTCTTATTTCTTTCTATTTCTCTTTCCTCACATCGTCCTTGTCTTAACGCTTATCTCTGTTTCTTTCTTTCTTTCTTTCTTTCTTTCTTTCTTTCTTTTAATGCCTGTTCCTCGTTTGGCTGTTTCTTTCTCCTCCTCCACTTTTTTACCCTCCTCTATTTTTTATTTAATCTTTCTTTTCCACATTCAAACTTTTCCTTTTTCTTTGTTGAATGCGTTTCGTTTTTCTTCTCTTTCTTATGTCACTATTTCTCTTTCTGTTTTTTTTTTTGTTTTGTTTTTTTCAGTGACGGTCACCATAATATTTTTTTCCCTTTTTATTTCTGTTTTATTCAAACTGCTATCTTTTTTTTATATATATATATATATATATATATATATATATATATATATATATATTATGTAACCCGGATATAAGAGACTCAGATATAAGAGAAACCCGGATATAAGAGAGATTTTCTCTGGTCCCAAATTAGAGCCTGTGTTAATGTATATAAAATAGACCAAACCTGACTTCTAAGAGACTTCTTCTCCGGTCCCGACAACTCACTTATATGTGGGTTACACTGTATATATATATATATATATATATATATATATATATATATATATATATATATATATATATATATATTTTAAGTCTCCTTATCTGGTTTCTTTCTTATTTTAAACACTTGAATTTTTCCTTGCTATTGAGTTTGTCAAAATGTAATTGCTCGTTTTACTATTTAATTTGTTAATTTGAAATTTTATTCTTCCCTGCTCTTTTTTATTCATCTCTTTATTATTTTTTTTTTTTATTTGGGCCTTTTTAAAATGTTTTTTTTTATTTGGGCCCTTTTAAAATGTTTTTTTTTTATTTGGGCCCTTTTAAAATGATTTTTTTTTATTTGGGCCTTTTAAAATGATTTTTTTTATTTGGGCCTTTTAAAATGATTTTTTTTATTTGGGCCCTTTTAAAATGATTTTTTTTATTTGGGCCCTTTTAAAATGTTTTTTTTTTATTTGGGCCCTTTTAAAATGATTTTTTTACGCTTGCTTTCCAAACTTTCATTTATTCTTTGCTTCATTCTTTGTCGTTTACTATTTTCTGTGCATTTACAATTGTAATATTTCCCGCCCTGTTTATTCCTTCCTTCGTCCATCTTTAGTTTATAACATTTTATCTGTTTATATCTCTGAAATGAGGTATTATGATTACTTGCATCATTTACATTACTCGGACAGTTATCCTCATCCTCAGTACCATATTCACAACGCTCCGGCATTCTTCAAGTGATAGGAAGTTCGAAGCAAACCCTTTATTTCATCCACCGGAGTACATTGTTCTAGTTCTAAGAGCCATGCCTCTTTCGGATCTCTTAACAGTGGTGAACCAAAACATGGAGAGTAGAGTTAAAAGGATATAATTGAGAAACCCGATTTTCTTCGATTTTTTTTCTTTTACGATATTTTATTCTCCTTCTTTTTCTCTCTTTTTTTTCTTTCCTTTGTGTTCGCCATTTTTTATTTTAAATTTTATTAAAATGTGGCTTTTTTATTCTTTCGGTCCATTTTGTTATTTTGGGGGGAAATTCTATTAATTTTTATGCTTGCATTTGAAACTTTCATTCGTCCTTTCCTTTCTTCTTTGTGTAAATACTTTTAGCGTTTTTCTATGCGTTAATGTTGTTTATTTTTCTCGCTTACTTTATCCCTTCCTTCCTTCATCTTTTTTTTCTATAACATTTACTTTCATCCTTTTTTTTTGTCGTTTCTTTCTCATGTTTTCCCTCGCATTTTTCTTTTTTTTTCTTTTTTCAGCCATTTCTCAAATTCCGTCGCTCTCTTCATTTCTTTATTTTTCCTTTCTAGTTATTTCTTTCTATAGGTTTATTCTATGTTTATTGCCTTCTGGATCCTTTCACTCTTGTTTCTTACTTATTTATTTATTACTTTCATTCCAGTAATGTTATCTAATATTTTATTACCTCCTTCACTAGAGTTCCGCGGCTTATATCGCCATTAATCCACTACCACTTCATTCAGCTAATAACTATTATACTCTCACTTCGTCCACCCTTGTTACTACTCAACTCTAACTGCCACCCCAACACCTCCTACCGTCAACAACATTATAATAACAATAATTCTTCATTGTCTTTCTGAATCAATTCTGTTTCCATTTCCTGCCTAATGTCATTTTTGAATCGTCAAGAGAGACGACATAATGCATAACGTCAAACGAATACCATAGCCATGAGGCCAAAAATTAAAAGGAAAAAAAAATGTATATTTTATAAAGGGGGGCGCGGAAACATGGAAGCAGCAGTCGACATCTGGGGTGTGTCAGACTGAGAGAAGTGTTGAATGCATGTTTGCTGTAGCAACCTTATTCGTAATCACTGACGTAGATGCCGGTCGACATGAGCGAAGGCGGAACAAACCACTTAGAACTTCCCCCAATGGCAAAACCAGAAGAGATTTCAAAGCTAAAATGTTTCTTATTCTTTTTTAGCGAAATCGAAAAAATAAAAATGGAAGTTATTTTTTTTAATCGGAAAAACATAAAAACATTTTTTTTTAAACCGCCATGAAACCCAAGCAACAGTACAACACGACGATCTTGCAAACAGTTGATAAAGAAGCCATAATAATGATTGAGTGTACTTAACGTTGTCTGGCATAAGGCTACTAGATATGAGCCCCCAAGTGAGAATGTTCCAGATTCTGTTCCCCATCTGGGTAAGGAATAGTTTTCTGCTAAGCATACAAACTCACCGAAAAATCTGTCTATATTTATGACATGTGGTATTTTAACTATTTGCCCTCAGTAATGTACCGTGCGTAATAGGGGATCATGTATCTTCCGAAACATAATAGACGAGGTAGATTTTTTCCCCGCAGTAGGTTACCATTTTTGCAGTAGACCAGTTGCCAGCCGTAGGTTGGATCGGGGGAGGGAGAAGAAGAGGATTCATACATTTCCTAAGCGTATTAGCATGTAAGTAAATGTAATAGATATGACTGGAATTCGAACTCGGCTCTCCGATTCCTCATTCCGAAACGCTATCCATTACTCGACCGTAACTCCAGTATTTACACGACTTACATCATTCAGACTCTTTCCCGAATCTTTACTGGACACTTGGCCCACTGGATAAAATCTTTGGTTGAGGTAATTCAGTGGCTTGACCCGAGGAGTTGTAAGTTCAATAACTGGTCACTGTAGAGATGAATAAAAATTTGGAGAGTTGAGTAAGTAAAGGAAAATAACTGAAATTATGATGTCCAGAAAAGTTATGGCACGTGTAACGAGAACAATCTACCCCAATGGACTAAATAAAGGGTTCGGTATCAAAATGCCAACGTATATTATCTGAAGACGGCCAAAGCGTACAACGGCCGAAATGTCGTGAATGTTGCAATAAAGATGAGGACAACAATAAATTGTGTACATGTTAAGCATATTCACAGAAACATATTAAGCCTGTTGACATCTCAAAATTTATTAAAATCGATACACGCATTCACTTATTTTCTTTTATTTCAGCTAATCCACTTTTAAATTAAAATCTTTAATAAAATGAGATTAAGTTGTCTCTCATCAGATTCTATCATACACATTTATAAATCCATCATTCGTCAATTCTTTGGATACTCTTTCCATATCTGGTCAGGTGCTCTTGCTGTACATTTTGAAATTCTTAATAAAATTCAAAGAAAGGTCTGTAATGTATCGGTTCTGACCAATTGTCTAAGCTTCAGTCACTTTCTCCTTGACTTAATGCTCCTTCTCTCTGATGAGAACATAAGCCATGTACATTTCTAATAACTATGCTTTTTGGCCTCACATTTTCTACTGAAATGAACTGGAGTGACTATATAAAAAAGTGCTTCGGCTACTCCAAGGAAAGTTGGATCACTGTGTCGTGCCAAAAGAGACAGTGATAAACTAGTCTCATTCTGCTGTCAGTGCTAGGGAATAATAATCTTGTATTAATTCATTCTTTTTAGTTAATTCATCCTTCTGAATAATTGAATACACTTGCCATATCTGCTCTAGTGCTTGTGCTGTGCTTCCTGAGGTTCTTGACAAAATTCAAAGAAGGATCTGTAATGTAATCGATCCTGACCACGCATATCGTCTTCAGTCACATACTCGTTGGTATCATGTGGCTTCCCTCTATCTTTTCTATAAATATTTTCATGTCAATTGATCTGATAAGTTCTTCATCCATCTTTCCTGGATTACATGAATTTAAGCTTGCTACTAGATTGACAACTAAGTATCCCCGTTTTATTATAGAACCAAAAAGATGCAATCGCCGCTTTTAAAATAGAATCTTTATTAAAATCAGATTAAGTTATCGTAAACTTTGAAAGAATCAATTTTCAGCCAGATAATCTCACGAATCAGCATTTGTAGAATTGTCATACATATATGTTATGGTCCAGGTTAGGACCAAGGAAGAACAACACGAACACAAGTGTAGAAATAACGAAGGTATATTACACGAAATAATAATACAAGATAATGGAAGATGTTAGTATGACTGTCAGTCTGATTTGGAGTGAACTACTATCGGCTCGACTCGATTCGATATCTAGCCACCCGCCACGAGTTTAACGTGGGTTTCTCGATCCCGTAGGCTCGGCCAAAAAAATGCCCGTAGAACCCGTATAAACGGAATCGGGTTGGTCAACCTCCCCGAACGAGGCTCTGCCCTTCGGCGGAGCCTCGTCCGGGTTCCTCTCTGCTCAGTGGCAGAGAGTTCGACCGTCAAGCCGAGAAGCTCGGCTTGATTCGGTATCTAGCCACCCCCCACGAGGGTTGCATATGGCACATGGTCGAGTTTAAAGTGGGTTTCCCGAGCCCGTAGGCTCGGCCAAAAAATGCCCGTAGAACCCGTATAAACGGGATAGAGTTGGTCAACCTCCCGAACGAGGCAGAGAGTTTGACCGTCAAGCCGAGAAGCTCGGCATGATTCGGTATCCCCCCCCACGAGGGTTGCATGTGACACAAGGTCGTTTTTATCGTGGGTTTCCTGAGCCCGTAGGCTCAGCCAAAATATGCCCGTATGACTCGTAAAAACGAGATCAGGGTAGGTCATTCACCCCGAACGAGATTCTGCCCTTCGGCGGAACCTCGTCCGGGTTCCTTTCTGCTCAAAAGCAGAGAGTTCGACCGTCAAGTCGAGAAGCCTCGGCTTGATTCGACCCTCTATCTTGAGAGGTGTAGTATACATAGTGTTAGGAAGATTTCATTCTGTAGTTATAGGTAAGGACCCATGACAATATACTAAATTGTATAAATTTAAAACAATGACTACAAATGTTAGAATTCTTAAGGAGTTTACAAATTTACAGCAAATATCCTTTCCCTGGAAAGAAATTGAGAATTCGCAATAGGTAATATTTTCTACCCCTTTTTCTTCTATCTGCCTTTTACCTTGTGAATAAGGGTAATTATGGCCTTCTATAATATTCTATCATTTTTAGCAATGTTTTTCCTATCCATGCGATTCCCTCGTATGCCTTTCGCCTACACAAGATCATTAGGCAAGAGAGTCACTGTTCCTCCTTATTCAGTTTTGCCTTTGTTATGTCCTGAGTATAGCAAATTATCCATTCTTATGTACCCAAGAAATTTAAAAAGAATCTTTCTGATTCTAGGCATAACTGATTATTTTGCATCCATTCAAAGTCTTAATAAAGTATTTTCATTGTAATCTAGATGTGCATATTTGAAAAAATGGTTTCTACTTGACACGATTGCATCTAGCATGAAACAGACTGTCGCCTCTAAGTGTTGACTTTAATGTTCACTTTTATATTTACACACGCTCTATGTCTAATATTGAACACTTTATCCCATAAATATAGCACTGCTTAAGACTATATTTCTTCATATATATATATATATATATATATATATATATATATATATATATATATATATGTGTGTGTGTGTGTGTGTGTGTGTGTGTGTGTGTGTGTATGTGTGTGTATGTGTGTGTGTGTTTGCGTGCAATCATGAAAAGAAAATACAAGAACGCGTATAAAATATAAGAAAAATAAAATCAGCAGGAGGTTTTGGTGAAGAATAATAACAAGAAGAAGATAAGGAAAAGAAGAAAAAAAGAAGAAGAAGAAGAAGAAGAAGAAGAAGAAGAAGAAGAAGAAGAAAAAGAGGAAAAAGAAGAAGAAGAAGGAGGGAAGAAGAAGGGGAGGAAGAAGAGGAAGTAGAAGAAGAAAACATGACAGAAAAATAATAAAGGAAAGAGAACCAATGAAAGATTCTATCCATGTTAATAAACAGAAAGACGTGATAGAAGTAAAAGGAGAAGAAATATGAAGAAAGGAAAAATAACATAATAATAAAAAAAAATAATGTATTTGACATGTATCGGTGGGTGGATAATTAAAATATACATTACTTTTTTTTATCCAGCCTCATATGTGCTTAAGAAAAAGAAAATCAAACCAATGTAGCAGATTCGACTAACCTTCTGATTTTTTACTGTTAAATGTTATTTTTACTTTTATTTTATTTTTTCACACGTTTATTAAGCAACATGTTAATACTAATGTTTTTGTCTGATTCAACTCTTACCATTAACATTTTATCTATTATATATATATATATATATATATATAAATATATATATATATATATATATATATATATATATATATATATATATATATATATATATAGATAGATAGATAGATAGATAGATAGATATGTGTGAATTGCTTAAATTCATAAAGGAATATAGCTGAACTGGGTAGTATAGAGAAATGAAATCTATAGGGCCTACTGACAGGCAGTTTTATATATATATATATATATAGAGAGAGAGAGAGATAGAGATAGATAGATAGATAGATAGATAGATAGATAGATAGATAGATAGATAGATAGATATGTGTGTTAATTGCTTAAATTCATAAAGGAATATAGCTGAACTGAGTAGTATAGTGAAATGAAATCTATAGGGCGTACTGAAAGTCAGTTTATATATATATATATATATATATATATATATATATATATATATATATATATATATATATAGAGAGAGAGAGAGAGAGAGAGAGAGAGAGACAGATAGATAGATAGATAGATAGATAGATAGATAGATAGATAGATAGATAGATAGATG